AATTATGAAGTTTTACCTCCAATTGAAATATAAGGGATCCTGTGAGCACCACCAATATAAAGAGCATCAGACAAGATCCCATAGAAAGGTTTTGCCACCATAGGGAAATTAGCAGAGTTCTGCACAAGCTGCAATGTTGAAGGTTGCATATTAAGATTATGGGCCATGTGGAAATTAAGTGCCAACCAAGGGAAGCATCTAAAACCATTCACATAGTACCCACACCCACATAAAACCATCATTTCTTGATTGATAACCTGGAAAAATCCATTCTTTTGATGTTTCTTTGGTTTATCCTTGTTCTGATTTAAACGTTCACGTGAAGGGTTAATGATAACTGGATTTAGCAACTGAAATTTGGGACTTTTGCATTTGTTCATAGTGTTCATGGGATTCAGATTCTGCTGCCATGAAGAGTGAATACTGGATTTCAAATGGAAGAAAGATTGGTTTTTGGTTCTTGTGTTGATTGGAAATAATGGGTTTGTACTAGAAATTAGTGCAGAAATCATGATAATCAATTACACAATTTGGAGTTCAAGAAGAGTTTAACAGCCCACTTATTTCCAACCATAAAACTCTCAGGAAAATGTTTTTGAACCTTTCAGACAACGAGGAAGAATCTGTGCTAGATGGACTATAATTGCTTAAGAGGCAGAGTAATCTTTGATTTGTTCTTTTTATTTTAGCACAATGAAGACATTTTTGAGCTCCTACTTCTACAGAGAATTGGAGAGGGTTCCGGATCATCGATCATGGTGATCTTTTGATGGGTTTTGCCATTTTGGTGGGGGCATCTGTCCTTATTACAGAGTTTCATGGGAAGGGACCCAAATCACATAAAAAAAACTAAGCTGGCACTCTTCTCCTCGTGAGGACAGAGGAATGAGTTGAGCAATTACCAATTTTGAGCCGCCAAAAGTCAGACTAAGATAAGGAATGGTAAAATATCTTGCCCTATTTTACATCTTCCGCTCTCAAGTAAGGTGAGAATTTCTTGTCTTGTTGCTCCACCTTGGAGAAAGAATAAAGCTGAATGTACGGGCTCCATTTCTTGTTTTATTTATTTATTTTTTTTTATTTTTTTTGTGGAATGATTTGCACCGTTAATTGTAATATAGCATTTTTGGTTCAATATTGAAATTATTTTTTCAAAGAGCTCGGATAATGCACTCCTAATTTTTTATAATCAACTCCACATCATTTGAATAAGAATGATAGTCACCTTCGTTATCAGTATCTCTTTTACAAAGAAAGATATTAATTATTTATTAGTAATCATACTGATAACTCTGAGTATCATAGTTTAATTAATAGAATATTCTTTATTCGGATCCACCGTTGTTATTAAAAATCGTTTTTTTATAAAATAAATTTAGTCAATTCAAAGTTTTGTTTATAAGTTAGTATAAGTACACCCAAACAAGCTCTAAGTCCACTCAAACTTATAATTAAATGTTCATATAGATTGCGGAATTATACATAGAGATTGTCAATGAGATATAAACAAGTAATCAGAGAATGATAACATATGACAACATGGTATGGGCAGTTTATTCTTAGTTTTGGTGCCATTTAAGGTCACATTGTGTTCTTCATGGTTATTCTCAAGGTATCCTAGGTAGTGAATATACAACTAAATAAATAATTATAAGGAACAATATTATAAGTAACAATATTTTGATTTGAATATGTATGCATAGGAACTCTCTCTATGTTACTTAATAAACGTTTTCGTATTAGTTTTTCGAACTTAGTAGGACTTATAATTTTCAGAGATATGCTTCATGTACAGATACATTTTGTCAGAATGATGTTAGATTCATACTTGACTGGATTTCATTGACAGTTGTGTCAAAAATATTTTTCAACCATCCAATCATAAATTGTCGAGTATGAATCTGTACAAGCAATGTAAACCAAATTTTTAATGGCGAAGCTCAAAATAACATATAACAAAAGAAAATTGAAAAAAAAAATTATTAAAATTACCTACAATTTCATGGATTTTATGTAAAATACACTTTTACACAAGCTAGAGTTGTTTGTGTGGAGTATGAGCTAGATGAATTTGCCCTAAAAAGGCACGTGTCATTTGCACGGGACAGGATGGCAACATCATGTAAAAATGAAGTTACAATCTCTCGTGGAAATTAAATGCACATTTTTTCCTTTAGCGTTAGGCAATTACAGTTGTCATATTTAATAGTTTCCTTTGACCTAACTATATTCCTAAGATGCAAACATTTGTGTCACTCCCATCCCATAAATGAGTACTTGCGAAGTTTGGCACCATGGCCTACAAGAGAATCCATACATGTTAAAAAATAAGAATAAAAATTAATGAAAAAACCTACACAATAACAAAGTCGAGCCTATACTTGCTCGGCCCAGACCTTATATGCAGACTACAGAGAAAATGTGAAATGTTAGGTGCATAAACGGGCACATTTGCAATCAAGTCGAGCCAAACCAACCCAATTAACAAAATTAATTCAAATTCAAATTACACCAAGCACTCTTATCAGTTTCATAATTCGAAACACTTCCTCTGAATGTAAGCATTTAAAGCATTACAGAAACATGAATAATACTAAAAAGGTTCTTGTTTGTAACACACCAAAAACATTTTTGGATTGTACTCGCTCGCGAGTATCCAACACTTGAGTTGAAAGTTACGTGTGTTTTGGTAAATCCCTTTTATTTCTTCTCTTTTACAATTAGTTTATGATCTTTTCTTCTAATTAATCCGTATCAACATCTCTGACCCCCACCTCCATCGAAACATTGCAACTACTAGCCCACTACCATCAAACCACGCACCACTGAACCCTTCAATAGCCATCGTTGTCACCGCTGTCACCACCAACGATAATGAAATACATTTTTTGTCAGCTCATGCTTCACCACGAATACCACGACTAATATTTCTCTGCTACCAGCATCATCGTCGCCACCACTATCTTTTAAGAATTCGATAGAGCCCCAATCAAATACACCTACTCTAGAAGGATCAAGAAGGTTAAGGGGCAACTGCAGAATCCATTAACCGGTGGCTGAGGTGGACAAAAAAAGTTGTTACACAAGGGTTATAAGTAGAATAGTAGCTAGAATAAGAAGGGCATCAAGGACATGAGGAAGAGTGATAATAGGAGAGTGTGGCCCTCTCGAAAGGCCTCTTGTTACTTTATTTACTGTTGGTGTAGTTTCTTCAATCAATAGACACAAATGCTGTGCCTAAATTCTTGTTTGATTATTGATATAGTTAGATTCTATCAGAATCATGCTACATGTATCGAATTTTTTTTTATCTAATTCCTTACCAACTACTCACAATACGAGATGAGAACCACATTTTGAGATTTTTTATTCACGTGGGTCTCACGTGCATGTGAGAGAGGGTAAACAATTCAATACACTTTTGGGTGTACAAATAGAATTATTCATCTTTTAATACACCTATACCAATTTCCCCACTTGCTCCTCCTGCCTCAACCTTCAACTAACTCCCCTACCATCTAATTTCAGATCACCAGAAATCGAGTGCCGACTTTGATGGGAGTAGCAGGCACAGAGATGACAGTCTACAAGTCCGGCGTGCAGCGCTTAGGGAGTTGGTGGCGCGTGCATGTTTTTGTGGTGGTTAGGATTTTCTGAATTGTGCAGGGCGCCAAAAAGAGGATTTAGAAAGAATATATTATAGTAGTTGATAAATGAGAAAATTAACAACTAATTTCATATAATCACTCCAACATGATCCATTTGGCTCAAATTAGGCCAGAGCCAACCTCTCTTTACACCTTTAATCAGGAACTCTGGTGACTGAGAAGATATAACCACGAAGAGAACATACAATTATTCAGTTCAATGCAACTTAAAGTTTCAAAGGAGAAGGAAAGTACGATACCAACAGTTCTTCGAATCTAATCTGAACGCACGATCTTGAAAATCAAGTTAGCTGAACATTTAAATAAGACTACTACAAGCAAGAGATGTACACTTGCAGAAAACAAGAAAGCTCCACCAATTTCCTCAACAATCTTCGGTCCATCACCCAGAAGCTTTTGTTTCACCAAGGCTGGCATGGCCACGTCTACACAGGAAGCCATTGATTGAAGCAAAAAGTAGTAGGTGAAACTGAACTATTCCCGCCAACTAATTGGAGAACTAACCGTGAACAAACCATTCTCGGGGCTATATTTACGAAATATATAACCAAAATTCTAGTCCGACCACAAAATATATCCAGAAACTAGAGGCAATAAAGCTTTAACGAGGTGCCGCATATCAATGTGTCTTTGATCATGGGGTAAGGTCGAAATTCTTTTCCAACAGTGATCGAGCTTCAACAAGAGATGTTACTTTGTAATCTGGTTTGAATTTTGTGTTTTCATACTCAGGAGAATCGTAACTTCCTGTTTCATCAAGCAAGCATGTAAAAGCTCCTGCTTGTTTCCCACATGCCACCTGCAACAACCGTGAATAATTGAAAAATTAATAAAACAAAACGAGAAGCAAGCCAGTGACCCTGTGTAAAGTAAATAATAGCATTTGTAGATATTGGATACGGAAAGTAGCAAGCACAGAGAAGCAAATTAACAACAGAACACTATTCATCAACTACAGGCAACGATTTAAAAAAATGCAATAGAAGTCAACAGGTAAGATTTAAACCAACGCTAAATAGCGTATAGCAAAAAAAAAAAAATTCACAAGGACAGCCCTGATGATGAAGAAGAAAAGAGCTCACGTCATCTTTAAGGCTATCCCCAATCATCATAACCTCGTCTGGTTGCACGCCCCAAGCTTTGCAGATATGAAGCAGTGGAGCAGGATCTGGTTTATAAGGTCGAAATTCCCTGCTTAATGCAGGAGAAAATATCATCTGAAGTAACAAAAAAAGATCTTAAATTTAACTTCACTAAGCAGTCAGACATTCTAAGAATTTCTCAGTGAAATATATGTTCACCTGAACAAGTAAATATTAGTTGACAGCTGATTGCATTGTTCAGCATATATTTTTCAAACAAAACTGAACTTACCCCAAAGCGTAAATGAAACAAATCAACTGCTCCCTTGACATTTCTAGTAATTAATCCCCTTCTGAAAAAAATAATAATAATAATATTAAAGCATTCGTGTTAAAGCCATGTAAAGGATATTGCAGTAAAACTAAACCTAAGTTATGAGAAACTCTACATCTTTTTTCAAGATTTTTACACCCCTATACATAAATTTATGGACATCTTATCTTTCAGCTTTTGACTTGAGCACGAATTCTACAAACATTAAAGGATCAAAACTCAAAAACAAGGACAGAAGCAAGTTCGATGAAAATGGGAAGTCAGAATGATAACTTTTTGAGTTAGTTCTGAGCATTACTAAAGTCTATACTTGCACCAAATACCATATTCTCAGATGTAGGAAGGAACAAAAATAAATTCACTAGAAAGCAAAATGTGTGAGTGAAGAAGCAACAGAATAAAGAACATATCCAAAAAGAATTTAGGGGTCTAACGGAAAAGCAAATAGTACAAGTTTTAGAAACCAAATACAAACTGTAAAGAAGTTCAATTTGAATAGTTAACCTTTGCATTGGCAGTACTTTACCTAATATTCCTGGAGTCAAGAAAACCACAAAGTTCTGAAGCACCTGCACCACAATCAAAGTGTAAAAACTTTCATTCAATGTGAGAACCTATAAATTCATCCAAATCTCACGCACAAATTGGATATATAGAAAACTACATCTTGGAAATCCCAAATTATTTTTCATTTTATTATTTATTAATCTAATGCAGTGGTTCCATCATTTACTGAATGTGAAGCAGTTCTCTAGCATTTTGTAGACTAATACAAGCAGTGAATAATAATAAAAAAACTTTAGTACCATCACGCGTCAGAAACTTGATATCAAGTTACAGAGATCTTGGCTAGCTACTGAGTTATTTATGTTTCAAAACAAAGCAAAGAAAGGAAAAAAATATGTCATAATATGTGAGATTTCAAGATTGGAAAATGATATGTTTAAGTAAAAACAATATGCATCTTCCTTAATGTTTTTCCTTGATATTTAAAAAGAAATTCCTCAATAACTTGGGATTGTGATAGTGTGTAAAAATACATATGCTTGTGAGTTGTGACAAATAGGATGTCATTAAAAAAAAAAAAAAAAAAAAAAAAAAATTAAAAATTTTTTTAAAAAAAAAAAAAAAAAAAAAAAAAAAAACTTGGAATCTGTCTTACAAAATTAAAAAATAATAAATAATAAAAAAAAACAATAAATTAGATGAATAAATCCATTTACAATAATGAAACAAAACAAGAAATGATTAATATAAAAATCAAATTCCAATTGAGTTTATTATCATAGCACTCTCTCAAGAACTCTCTTTCGTGTCCAATGAACAAAATTATTTTCCTTGCAAATACGCAAAGCATCTGCAGGCCAACAGACATAAAAACACTTCAACTTGCAACTGTGGGTCATTCAATTTGTTACTTAATGGGTGTCGAGATAGCAAAGATAAGCCTGAAAGTTTAGCACATTCACGTTGTAATTCCGGTGTTTCTTCCTCCACACTTGTACATCAAATCGCATGAACTCAGAAAAGGTACCTATTTTTTTATTGTTTCTTTCTCCTTCCTCACAATGTTGGTGCTCAAAATTTCAGTTTACAGAGATGCATTTTTACCTCCATTGCACTTCAATTTTTTTTTTTTTCAAAATTTTTTAAAGATCTACATTTATCCCTCTTGCACAATTTCTTTCATTATTTATAAGATCCTCAAAAGTCGCTAGCTATTCTTTACAAATATCTAAAATATTTTATGACTAATGGATTTCAAAATAATACTCACAGCTGCTGTTAGAACAGATCATTTTTTGCATCTTGAGCTTAATTGATGGCATGCCAAGTTTTCAAGGTGCTTTGCAGAAGAATATTTTATCACCGAAAAGAGAAAAGATATGAAGTGGAAGACTCATTTGCCCCTAAAAATAATTGATGGAACTGAGACCCCAGAACAATTTTTTCCTTAATGGCCATGCTCTTAGCACATAAAGGAGATTGAAGAGTACACTCTTATTCTATCCGTACGTGTAAAACAACAATGAACTTTTTGTCCAAATTAGTATGCTGAAGTTTGTATTAACCTTCTATAAATGGTATCCCCTTTTTCTTTCCAATAAAATTTTGTAAAAAAATTGAAAAAAAAAAAAAATCCAGAAATGAATCCATTGCTAGATCAAAGCTGTATCATTCCTAAGTTGGTAGAAGGTCTTAATTACGTTCTGCATCACTTGGCTTGCTATACAAAAGCTGATAAAATCATAAGTCTACTATGATTTTATTAGAACTAGTCGTCAAACTGAGTTCATTATGAACTGCAAGTAGTTTCTTGTTGTGATAATGTTATAAGACAAATCACAGAAAATCATAGTATAGTTGGTCTTTCGAATTAAAATCTAGTTCATAAAAAAATAAAAAAAAATTAAAAAAAATCCCCCAAAATTAGGATTCGCTAAAGTGTGAAAGAGAAGGTAAGTATGATTAAACTCCGTGCAGTCCAACAATCAAGACTGACTGTAAAATACAAAGTAATGATAGATTGATTCATGGGACACTAGTAATTCAAATTTTTCCACTTGGCATCTTTGATAACTTCAAGGAGTTCTTCCTAAAAATCAATGTTCTTTATGCAATAGTTCTTCTCGTTAAATCCAAGAATCAGTTTATGAAATGCAGCAGTGTACACCGCGTAAGTGCTACAATTCTGCTTTCCATTTTACATTTTGAGCAGTGGTACATTAGAACGTTCAACCCTCTCAATCTCAGTCCTAAAGTCCTAGTTATACTGCAAGTTAAGGATAAAAATTCAATCTTGTATTTTCTTTATGCAATAGTTCTTCTCGTTAAATCCAAGAATCAGTTTATGAAATGCAGCAGTGTACACCGCGTAAGTGCTACAATTCTGCTTTCCATTTTACATTTTGAGCAGTGGTACATTAGAACGTTCAACCCTCTCAATTTCAGTCCTAAAGTCCTAGTTATACTGCAAGTTAAGGATAAAAATTCAATCTTGTTAAAAGTGTACCTAAATAAAATTGCACATAAATACACTCAAGTATACATACATGTACAAATACATGTAACATATGTAAATACTGTAGGCAAATGGGAACTCACCCGGCATGATTTGGAGGCGATCCAAACCCTGTTTCTCAAAATCCGCGATAATTTCATATGCCCGTTTCTGTTTGTCGGGGCTCCATTTCTCAATATGGTGCAAAATATCAATACCAGTCGGATTCTCGGACTTAATTTTCAAATACTCTTTTTCTCCGAGCACTGTTCTGTACATTGCTGGGAAGTCGATGGCGGGGACCGTTAGGGTTCCGTCCATATCGAACACCACGCCTCTCAGACGGGCCTTGGTGGTGGCGGAAGGGGTGGAGGTAGTCATTGACGAAAATGCCCTTCTGGAGTGGAGGAAGTGGAGGGTTCTCAGAGTGAGGATTGGCATTGTTCGTTTTATACTGGGAGTAGATCGTGGAGGGCTGTTTTTGGAATTTAATGAGTGAAAATCAGTGGCCGTTAGTTGTTGGGATTTGGATCAGGTAACAGAGACAAAACTTACTAGACACAGAGCATTTGTTGGGTGAGGAATGCTACGGTGAAAATCCTAGGTTTGGAATCAGAAGACAAGTGTCATCTGATTATTGGATAGATTAATAAAAAAAAATAACATGTTTCCAAAGTTTGGGTTTAAACCCTAACAGAGCAGCAAAACACTTGTTGGGTTGGATTAATTTGCTATACAAGCTTATAGTCTCTCACGTGAGGGATTGAACGAATAAAATATTCGTGGTGAGCCTCCCCGCATGTGAGGGGATTGTCACTCTTGTTGGGTTTGAATAAATCTGGGTGTATCAATGGAAATTCACAGAAGCTTTACAATAATTTTGAAAATATTGAGGTGGAAGTTAAAAATAAAAACAATGATGCTATATGTATAGAGGAGGGGTTCACAGAATCTTCTTTTTGTACTATTTTACTCATATAAGCCTCACTCATGTGAGTATTCTGGAAGGACTCTATAAACCCCTCCTCTATACAAATGGTAAACCCGAACGAACCATAAAGTTAGACAAACATCAATGCTACTACACGAACAGTTCCATTTACAGGCTA